GTAAAATAACCAAAACTTATTGAAAAAGGAGATTAACTCATAGACGTTTTCTCTTATTGAAAAATTATTTTCAGCCCACGAGGCAAAGACTGCGACTGTGTAAAGTCTATTTTGCTTCCAATTAGCTGATGCAGGCTTAAAGCGTTGGGCCCAGATTTGACCAACAAATTTCTGGTCCTGATGCGGGACCAATCCTGGATATAAAACCTAGCTCCAATTTGGAAAATTTCAGGCTTGGACGAAAATGATCACCCCTTCTATAAAGTTTGTCAAATGGGCAAATAAAAATGCTGGTTTGATAATAAAATCTGGCATTATTATGCATGTAGCCACTAAAAAATTACAAGAGGGTATCTTTGTCATAAGTAAGGTTCAAAGTATCGATATGTATCGGTCCATATCGATTGATATATATCGTGTCAATGGTTTTTTGGTACGCCCCTCCAGTGGTTGTATAAGGTCAGTCACTGGTTCAGAGGGTAGTCGGGCCTTAAATCGTCCTTTGAACCGGTTTTGAAAAATAAGTAAAACCTAAAAAAAACTATTGATACAGCCTAATACGCTTCTATCGGCGTGTCGGACGTATCAATATTCTAAACCTTGGTCATAAGTAGAGCTATCAATAGCCAGGATAGATCTGATCTGGAATAGGGTAAATCCACTTCTGACTCAATTATAGATGGTGCTTGGAAGTGTGAGCACTTTTTGGACCGATTTTTAAGAAAAAAGACCCATGCTTTCAAGACACGTTTTTCACAAAATAACACTTCAACCATGTAAGCAGTGAGCAACATTATACTATTTGGTAAGATGATTTTCATCACCATTTTTCATGTATGCCTGACAGATAAGCACCACAAAAGATACACATCAGTTACTGATCACACATTTCTTAAACATTTTGAGTAGCACCTTCACTTCACGTTTTGATGCTCACTAGTCAGAGGTGGCAATTCATCGGGTCGGGCTGGAAATGCCCAACTCAGATTCATTCCTGATAGCAGAAATGCAGGATGAGCTAGCCAAACCTAAAATGAGTTGCTTTTTTGCTTTGGATGCATGGACCGGATCAGGATTCAGGAGTAGCTAGCTTTTGTTTGGGACAAGATTTTTTTTTTGGATGGATCGGGTCAGGATTCAAGAGTAGCTAGCTTTTGTTTTGTTGGGGATAAGGAATATTCCAGCATGAGGTATATTTGAACTGAGGAGCATGGAAATGGGTCACTAGACATCCATCAAATAATAACTACCAAAATAATGTTATTCAACATCATTTGCGGAAGCAAGTGAATGAAGAATACATATTCAATGTCATGGAAATGGGGAAGGAATTTATTTTCTTCCAAAATATCCTCCCCAGAAGAAGAGATATAAGAGTAGGACATCAACAATTATTATTATAAATATTCACACTAAGATAGATTATTCTAATCCAACCGTCTCTAAAGATTAACTAAAAAAATAGTTTAAATCTCTCTCCTAATTAATTATTACTTAAATATGGTTTCATGAAAAGGAAGATTTGTCAGAAACATGTAATTAGTTTTAAGTATAGTTAAATGAGTCACTTCAAGACAATGGGTCTCCCTAGATTTCTACTGTTCAAGTGTTTTGAGGTCTCCATGATCTATATTCCATGTGAGTTTATTTTATATATATATATATATATATATATATATATATATATATACATGTAGTGAACAACTACAAAACATTCAATATAATTATAAATCATTCCACACAGGGATCAAGTTTGAGCAAACAGTTCAGAATCTTTTTCCTTCACCCAATGGGGCTCCATGTGTGAACACCATTTTACCCTCTTCTTTAAGCCCCCACCATGCAATTGATAATAAAAACACTCGTGTTCACACAGACTCCTAATATGAAACGGAAAAAGATCAAACATTTCTACACTACAAATTCTTGATAAATAAATCAACAAGGTTGTGCATAATATGTATAAGGAAATTAAGTTCTCAAATCAAATTATTCCAAAAAAAAAAAATGTTGGTTTAAGTAACAGCAAGTCCCAAGTTTGTGGGCCTTAAATTTCTGGTCACCCCTTAATGATTGTACCAAAGATTAAAGGGATCTAAGATGCCTACACCCTGAATGTACCTTCTAAACATTTCAAACTCCCCACCCCACCAACCAAAAGAAGATGAGCAAGTCAACACTATACATCTTAACTTTTTCAATTTGATAAATTCTTGATTAATTCGTACAAGAAATGTTCTCTTCACAATGCCATTTTGAGAGTTTTTCAAATTAAGTCTCATCCTTCTTACTTATTCCCTTCACAAATGCATCTTTATTATTTGAATTAACCCTTTTTCCCCTTGAACCTTTTGTTTCAAACTCGTCTCTCTAAATTTCAGAAGATCGTCCATAAGTGAAGGTCGTTCCTCAATGTTCACATTGAAATAATATTTAAGCTCTTCTTTCTCATGGAGAGGCCCTGATTTAGCCATATTTTCTGTAAGTGTCCTGTTGAGATCAGGTTTGCATTTTTCAATGAGACCACCAAAATGACTAGAATTCGTTGACCCTGAATGTGAAATGGAACCACATGAACCAAATAAACTTGCAGGAACATTTGAGAAAAACCACAGGTTTTCATTTTATCAAGTTCATACATATGGGTGCATAGACACAAGACAAACAAACTGACTTACTGACTAAAAACAAATCCTAACTGCTTCAAAACTAAGAAAAAGCCATAGGATACTCAGTTAAAGACTTGAACCCCTAAAACTGTAAAACCCCACTAATAATCCTAATAAACTAAACGAACCAAGCTCTAGGAGAGAGAAAAAAAATGGAAAGATGTCAATCCCATTACAGAATTTCTACCAATACAATAGCAATAACTCTCTCAAAAATGTGGATTTACAAGAACTTGGTTGGAAGATGAATCAACAATTTATTAGACACCATAAACATGCAAAATTAACAAATTTGGCCCTTGAAAAGAAGGGCTGAAATAAAACTAATGTCATTACACATTCGTCTTTTCAAAATTCTAGAACTTTTGCAATAAGATTCTTTAGAATTCTTTAGACTATTTTGATCCACTAAGAAAATTAACCCTATTTCTGAGACTCCAACAACCTAGAAGAAACTTTCTTTCTTAATTCATGGTCTCCATCCCTTTTCCATGTTTGCATCAAATATGTTCTTAAAAACTTACCAGGATTGTTGGAATAAAAGATAACTCTATGTGCAGTCCCTTGTAAGACATGTTACAATCAAGAAGTGGCCAGATGCAACCAAGGATCTTGTAGCTAAGTTAATGTCAATGTGATATATGATCATAATCATAGGGTGGGCCACATTTATATATCTGATCTGGACCAGGTCTACCCTGACCCAAACCAGACCTAACCCATTGACAACATTATTTTCCCCCTTAATCTTTAGTGATAAAGCAGAAGTTTCATTTTTCATGTTCTCATTTTAACATTATCCATCTGCTTGGGCTGCATACCTCACCTTTTCTTGTTCTCTTTTTTCTTCTTTTTGTTTTCAATGCAATTTTTCTCTATTATGAGAAAAATTGGCTGGTTCC